ACGTCTGAACCCCTCCTAAAAGTTAAACTTCTAGCCTACTTATAAATTCATATAGAAACCCCAAAAGTTAAAGTCCTAAGAGCCAACCAGAAGAACGTCAAGTACAGGATGCTACAAGGTTTAGTAAGACTGGTGTTGACTCGTGACTCCGAATCACGGAAGGTCTCGGGGGACAGGGTCTCCAAGGTTCAAGGGAGTTTAGGGTTTATGGTCTAGACAGTTGTGTCAAGGGTTTAGAGTTTAGAGATGTTTCGAGTTTAGGGTGAAAGGGGTTTTCAAGATTTAAGGGCCAAGGTCGGGCTGGACATGCTACGGTTCAGGTTTGAGTCTCCAGGCTGTAGGATTGCTACTCGCGAAGACGCCGATACATACCCTATTCTGCAAATCAACCTGAACCCCACCCTGTTCCGCACATCGTGCCTGAACCAAAAACGTTGAACCGCCGAGGCTGGCGAGTTCATTCAGTTTTCAACGCTCCCAGAGTTTCAGTTAACAGCTCAAGTTTTGGGTTTTAGGGCTTATCAATCAAGCTTAAAGCTTTAGGCTTAGGGTGTTAAGGTTAATGCATGGTTGCAAAACTCATTTGGTTGTCGGTTCGGTTCTTTTTGTTAGGGCTTACTTTGCATGGTGCACGGTGTAAGCTAAACGCACGTCGAGGGACAACAAACACCGGATCCTACTGCTTCGGGCTGAAGTTGGGTGTTGTGGGGCAGGCCTCAACCTCAAACCTTTCCGCAATTTTAAAACCTTGGACCCTCAACCACCCAAGTGGTAAAACCGGGAAAAACGTTTAGTTCATTGAGCTCCTTCCGCACGCCCAGGATCTTCATTAGCTGGTGGACAATCATGCCTTCCATCTCGCAGCCTCCACGCGCGGCGAATATATTTGTTTCTGGTGCTTTGTTTTGAAGATGTGGTTCGGGGCTTCAGGATCCTGTCTGGGGTCGTGGTATCAATGTGTCCCTCAACTCCATAAACCCCGAGGGCTGCAGACAAGCCCTGCCAATTCCTTGGCAAGACGCCTCCGGTGCCCCACTCACACCCAGCAAATGGGCTTTAGTCTTTCATGTTCTATACATTAATTTGACCACCAACCTGACGCCTTCAGATTGAAATCATGTGCAAGAATCCTCCTGGCATAAAGCTACTCAGCCCGGGACGCTGCTTAAGTTTTGCGCTATTGCCCATGTTTTGTCAGCGGATTTATTGGTGTGAAGACCCTTAGAACATGCCTGAAGGCTTCCCATATCGCCCAAACTTTGAGCATTCCGATTCTTTCAGGCCAGGGTCGGGAACGCTCACGCTTCAATCGGGGCTTCGGGTTTCGGGTTTGCGGAAGGTGTATTTTTGACACATGTCGGACTACATGGTGCTGCTGGGTGTAATTACTGTGGCAAGCACGGAAGATATTACGATGCATTACCGCATGCGCTATGGTTGGTTCTATTCGGCTGAAGCCAAGAGGCACAGTAACATTACTGTGATTGCGATGTTGTCGCTTCCAATTATGATTGGAGTGTTTTTCAGGATATGCTGATACGGCACGAATCACTCATGACGGCGTTTCAACCATCATGTATAGCAACCAGTCAAACATGGTTTTGAAGACACTGCAGCCTTGGTCTCATTTTCGCGGAAAGCGCAAGCAGACAGAACCACAACCGCAAATAAACTCTGAATCTATATTGACGCTGCAAAACCCTATGGGCGATGGTATAACGGCGAGGCACTGCAAAACAAGCCACACGGTGCGAAATACTACGGGTGCAGCATGACACGTTCGGCAACCAATGCGACAAAAAACTGAATGTCTGTTGCAATATCTCTGTACAACCAATTACTATACAAGCAGTGCTGCCATTCTACAGCGGTTTCAATTCTCGGCCGATTTTCAACGCAGCTCGCGGGGTTGCTGGATCGGTGCCCGAGAATCCGCAGCGAACGGCTTTGGCTGCAGAGGTTTGGGCAACAATCAGCACCTTAAACAACAGCCAGAAATAACAACAAGAAACAGCAGTAGTGCCGGGAATACAAGACGTGTGCCAGCAACACAGCTGCTAAGTAACGAGAATAACCACATCCCCAAACAAACACGACTAACCATATCCCTGTACGTGCATACCCTGTAGCAGAAGACAACGTGGTGGTAGTGGTGGTGCTTCCGACCGTATCGGTTGTGCATCATGCCGACTAGGGCTCTACGATATGTAGGTATGTGTGTATGAATAAATGAATGCCTGTAAGTATCCTGAGGGAGATAGAGGGATCTACTGCACAGCAGCGTAGCCCAGAGGTTTACCGCGCAAGTGTTGGTCGCAGCAACATATAGGAACAATTGTGCGCAGCCCTATCTGGCTTGCAGGTACTCTAGACAACACTAGGGTGTGCGAAATGAGTCACCCAAAAATGCTGTTCCTGACTGCAGAGATACAATAAAAACTAGCCACCTATAGCTGAAATTCAGAACCTGGCTTGCGAAATACACGATGACACAAGACATGAGTGCATCAACTTGTCCACCAAAAACCACAGCAGTTTTTGCCCACCAAATTGCATTCAAGTTCAAGCCTTACAGCATCTTCTTCAGTTCTTCACACACGTGAAGCAGCACCTCTTGAGTGCGGCCAGAATGAAAAAGTTGTTGATAAAGTTCGAACGGTTAAACCGTACTTAAATATTTGTGTAACCGTTGAACCCATCTACTCATGAAGCATTGTTAGAAACCACAACTTTCCAAACACTTTTTAATAATTTTAATGCAAGTCTACTGAGTCTACTGCTCAAAATCGAGAGAAAGTTACCTGGCCCTCCGGGGGCGCAGTGCGCAGGCTGGACCAAAGTCACTTTCTCCATCTTCCATCTCCCCTGCTGTGATCGTCTTCTCTGCCACTCATCGAACCTGCAGTCAACCTGTTCTGTTTCATTCTGGACGCAACCAAGGCCACACAAGCCTCTCGCCCGGCCCAAAGGTCCCAGCACACCTGATCAATCCTTGTGCTGTTCCCCTCGCCGCCGGTGTTCTGCCGGACCCTCACACTCATGATTTCCTCTTCACGATTCTCTTGCGAGTGTCCTGCGTTTATTCTACCTAGCACATGATGTCGCCGACACTTGAACCAATGAGTCCTTCCACACCTTGACGATTCTGGAAGTCGTGCTCCAGTGCCACGATGATTTTCCAGTCCTGGCAAGGCCAAAGGGTCCCAGCACACCTGATCAAACCCTTGTGCTGGTCCCCTCGCCAGCGGTGTTCTGCCGGACCTTCACACTCTTGATCTTTCTCATCAGGATTCTGCTGCGAGGTCCCTGCGTTTGATTCCTACGTAGCACATGATGCTGCCAACATTTGAACCAATGAGTCCTTCCACACCTTGACGATTCTGAAGTCGCGCTCCAGTGCCACGAGGTTTGTCCAGTCCTGGCAAGGGCCAAGGGTCCCAGCACATCCGATCAAACTTTGTGCTGGTCCCCTCGCCAGCGGTGTTCTGCCGGACCTTCACACTCTTGATTTTCCTCTTCAGGATTCTGCTGCGAGGTCCCTGCGTTTGATTCCTACCTAGCACATGATGCTGCCAACACTTGAACCAATGAGTCCTTCCACGCCTTGACGATTCTGAAGTCGCGCTCCAACGCCACGAAGTGTTTCCGGTCCTGGCAAGGCCCAAGGATCCCCGCACACCTGGACAAACCTTGTGATGGTCCCCTTGCCACCGGTGTTTTGCCGGACCCTCACACTCCTGATTTTCCTCTTCAGGATTCTGCTGCGAGGTCCCTGCGTTTGATTCCTACCTAGCACATGATGCTGCCAACACTTGAACCAATGAGTCCTTCCACACCTTGACGATTCTGAAGTCGCGCTCCAACACCACGAAGTGTTTCCGGTCCTGGCAAGGACACGAGTTTCAAAGTGGCCATGTCGATGCACAACCGAACTGCCAGCTCGATGTGCCGAGTCGCAATATCTACTTCGCCTTGGCGCAGCTTCTGAAGATGGCGATGCTGATGCTGCTGTTGTTAGACACTTTTGGCCAATCTTGCGATTGTGTGCATTTGCTTCCATTGTTATCAATGTCCATCTGCATTCCACGGGTAGTCATAATGCCGTGGTCTTGGCGTATTCAGCGTATTCATTCCCACCCTTAACTGAGGATCCATTCGGAATCTAAAATCTAAAGATCAAGCCTTGGTGAAAATATGTTGGAAACCGTATGTATGTCCATGAAGCCTGGCAAGGTCATCACAAACAAAACGTTTACGTCGCCTTTATCTTCTTTTATCATTTCTCAAGATCTTGTAAAGGACCCGTAGCAATTCTTTTGCCAACGCTTCTAAACGCTCGGAAGGGCCTTGTGCAATCTCTCCAAGTCCCCCATCAGATAACCCAATTCATACTAAACTTACAAAACCATTCAGCAACTTGGCTGGCCCTTTACAGCCGTGGAAAATGTTCGTACATAAGATCTTCTTAAACAACAACTTAAGCCCACTAAGGGGAAACATGAAACATCCCACAAACCAACCCAGCTATTAATCGTGTTTAAAGCTTGGCTGCTGAGTTCATAAGCCCCCATAAGTCATAACTTTCGGTTTTGGGGTAATATTATCCCGACAAGTGTAAACTGCGCCCATTCAGCGAGTAAGAAAACCCTAAAGCCCAAAACCCCTAAACCCAACCCCTAAACCGGCCCTAAACCCCTAAACCCTAACCCCTAAACGCCCATTCAGCTACTAAGAAAGTCTGGGTTCCTGAGTGACCCCTAAATAATAAGGGTATCCTTCTTCCTGCTATTCAATTTCAGTACGGGAACCATACAACAAACGGGCAACAGGATACAATGCTTTACAATCTCGACAGCTCCCTAAACCCTAAACCCTAAACCCTAAACCCTAAACCCTAAACCCTAAACCCAATGCGATCAGCCGAGCAGGGGCTCGTGGCTCTTGGACTCTCGCCGACCTGATACCCAGGGGTTTAAGGGTTTCAGGGGTTTAGGGGTTTTAGGGGTTTAGGGGTTGTGAAAAATGGTGGTTTTTAGGGGTTTTAGGGGTTTTTAGGGGTTTTAGGGGTTTAGGGGTTGAGGGTTTGGGGGTTTGGGGGTTTGGGGGTTTGGGGGTTTAGGGGTTTAGGGGTTCAGGGTTGAGGGGTTTGGGGTTCCTTTAAGGGTTCTATAGGGTTGTTTTAAAACGAACCTAGGGTTTAGGGTTCAGGGGTTTAGGGGTTTAGGGGTTTAGGGGTTTAGGGGTTTCGGGTTGAGGGTGTAGGGATTTAAGATTTTTGGTTTAGGGGTTTAGGGTCTTCGAAAATCCCTGTATTGAGGAATTTATGCCATCAACTATGGTAGGGTTCCCAATCGAGTTAAAGATATTTTCAGGTGTAGCATATTCCTTGGTCAAGGTAATTTGGAAGATCTGGTAAATTGAGTTTGCCTGAATCCCTAAACCCTAAACCCTAAAACCCTAAACCCTAATAGGGACCTACTAAAAAAAGGGGGTTTTGGGTTCTTGAGGTAGGCCCTAAACTTTAGGGCTGGGCATTGTGAGGATAAAGTTACAGGAAACTACCGGTGGGGAGTTTAGGGTATATAGGGTTTAGGGTTTAGGGTTTAGGAACTACAGGTGGGGAGTTTGGGGTATATGGGGCGTCTATAAGGCTTCTATAAGGTATATAGACCCTCTATAAGGCTCCTATAACGGTAGCTACCCACCTGAAAATGTCTTAGATAAACCCTAAACCCTAAAGCCATCGGGCCTCAAAAGATGAAATCAACCGGGTTGCGCACCGCTACTGTGTCGTTCCTTAACGACGAAAAGAACCTTAAACGTTTTAGGGTTTAGGGTTTAGGGGCCCTATACCCTTATACTATGAATCCCTTTATNNCCCTTTTAGGGCTCTTTTCGTCCTTCCTTAAGGTTTAGGGCTTCTTTTTGGGTTTGTGGTCTAGGGGCTAGACCAGAGTCTAGGGGTTAGGCTTCAGCATTTAGTCTTTGGGGTTTCGGGTTACTAGGTAGACACTGGAAACCCTTCCTTTGCCGTAGCTTACAGGAAAGAATCCTTGTCAAGGCAAGCTGAATTGCTGGAATTCGGCCATAGTCATGATGCTGTTGAGACAGATCGCTGGTAGCTTTGCCACCTAACTCGCGTTGCTGATGTCGCTCATCTTGTCCTTGACGAAAAGCAGCGGGGTTTAGGGTTTAGGGTT